AAACAAAACAAAAACGAGTAGGCAGCAGCAGGAGTGCCCAGGCCTCTCTCATTCGCTTTTCATTAAAAGCATAAACACAAAAAAGAGATAATACATAGCTGCCGCCTCATCACCAGATGACTTAATCTTCAAGCTCATCCTACTNCTAATTTTCGCTGCTAATTGTTATTTTTTCAGCCAGCCAGCCTACTCTGCTCAATTTACCTGAAACAAAACAAAAACGAGTAGGCAGCAGCAGGAGTGCTCAGGCTCCTCTCAGTCGCTTTTCATTAAAAGCATAAACACAAAAAGGGAGATAATAGCTGCCGCCTCATCACCAGATGACTTAATCTTCAAGCTCATCCTACTTCTTTTCAACAAAACAAACTAAAAATTGCAAATCTCCCAAACGACTCACCTGATTCGCCTCTCCTTGTGCTGCGTAATGAGGTTGCTGTAGTAATTTTCCAGGTGGACCTTCGCCTTGGTCGCCTTGTCCAGCGTGTGCCCGGAGAAGCGCATCGCCGCCGAGTGTTGCTGCTGCTGCTGCTGCTGTTCACTGCTCGCACCAGAGACAAAGGCCATCGTCGAGGCCAGCTGAGAGGGAGAAACTCCCACGACCACCGTCGCCGGAGAGGCAACTCCCGGAATGGCCATACCTCCTCCTCCTCCTCCTGCTCCAAGCGGACTTCCTGGACCTTGTTGCCTCGGCGAGGAGTTGGTCGAGGAGCTGGAGTTGTCCCCACCATTATTGTTGTTATTGTTGTTGTTGTTATTCGTAGCAGCCGCCATCATTTTACTGTTGATCAGCTGCTGCTGCTGCTGGTGGTGGTGATTAAGGTAGGCGTTGTGGTTGACAAGATGATGGCTGTTGTTGTTGTTGTTCGTCGGCTGTCCACTAAAGCCGCGACTACCACTGCTGCTGGTGTTGTTGTTGTTCTAAAATAAAGAAAGAGAAAGAGAGGGAAATCAAAGATTAGAAAGCAGTTTTCAACAAAGTGCTAGTTCAGGAGAAACAGATAGAAAAGGCGGGTAGGAAAATGCAAATCTATCTGCCAGCTTCGTCAGCTAAATTACCAAAACACACGGCAAACTCTCCCTCTTTTACTCAACTCAACCTTCCCTCGCCTGCAGTCATCGCCCATAGCGCACAGTGCTGCAAAGTTTACGCAGGTTTTAGAGTCTGCAGACAGAAATCAGGCAGCAGCAGCAATCACTCTCTAAAAATACCAGCTGTGCAGTTTGTATAACACACATACACAAACATTTAGTCAACATCAGGCAGTCAGAGAGTCTTCTGAAAGCCGCTGCCCCGCCCACCACTTTAACCCGTCCACTACTACTACTACTACTACATGTACAAATGCAAATGAACCCGAAAACGAGTGAACAAAAAATTCCTCCCTCTCTAAACGAGCCTCAGACAAACTATGCCGCAAACTTACAATTTCAGCCAGCTTTCTAACTCATTCCTCCTCCTCCTTCTCCATTACCGCAAAATTTAACAACAAAATGGGCTAATTAAATTACCCCCACCCCCAAAGACAAACACACAACTCTGACAACTTTGACGCTGACTGGCCAAAAATAGTGTCCGACTGGCTGCAGACCACAAAATTAATGAGTCGGCTATCAATTAGGCTGGCTAACTGTGGATAGGCTCAGGCAGAGAGTCAGTCACACGCACTACTAAATGCAGATGCAATGTCCAAACACGACAGCAAACAAAAACACAGGGAAAAGAAAAAAGCCTGGGAAATAGCACCAAAAATATCGTCCACTAAAGTAATGTAGAGTGGTCACCGCCGCTGCATTTTCTGGTTCACCAACAACACCAATGTATTATTACTGTGAATTTTTCTATTTGTGCCTTGCAGACTGCTGGAAACTGAAGTGCAAAAGCCAAATGGAGGAAAACAAATTGGCTTGTTCACAACACAGCAGCAGCAGCATCCCAAAACATCTCATTAATCAGCTGATTTTTCGCCCTTTTCCCTCTTCATTTCCTCTCATCTTCTTCTTTGCCTTCTTCTTTGCCCATTCATTACTTTGACCATTAGCACTCGGCTCGGTCGTGTGAAGGCGACATTAATTACAACACACACACACACACACACAAACGCACACACAACACCACAGGTCTATTAATCAGGCAAAGATGAAAGAAGGAAAAAAATGGCGTTGGTGCAGCCACCACAACCACCACCAAAAGGGGGCAAAGCATTAGGGCAAGAGGCAAAAGATGGTGTAGATGATCAGCCTTGATAAGGGAAAAAGAAATTACCGCTGTGCTATACCGAAGGAGGTTGAAGCAAAAGATAAAGGAAAAACGCACACTTTGTGATACTGATCGGCTAGCCACGACGACCACAAAAAGAAAAAGAAGATAAGGGGAAAAAATTAAGCAACTCGTTCATCAGAAACGAGTAACTCTCCTCCCTCACTCACTCAAGGTAAAAAGCGATTAAAAACGGTACGGAAAAAAATTCAAGTAGGCGATAAAAGCAGTAAAAAGCAGCTAAATGTGCAAGCTAAGGCAGAGCACAAATTATCTTTTGCCTCAAAAAAGTCAAAAGTCGATTAAATGAAAAAACGAAAAATCAGTCGCCTGTCCGTTTTCCCCTTCTTCTTTTCAATCAAAAAGTCTTCACCTTTTCCTCTGAAGACGAACACACACTTTGGTGCACCAGCAGTACCACAACTTCCTGACACACTAAAAATATAATCACTCTAGTGAATGGTGGCACACAAGTGGTGGTGACCACACAAAAAAATTAACGGCGGTAATATTAATTACCTCTCTCCCCGACAAAAAAAATTGGCAGCAGCAACCACCACCACCACCACCGACTCAATTACCTAATTGGCAAGTGCAGTAGCAATAAATAATAAAGTAATAATAATAAAACGAGGATCGAGTCTCCTTCGAACGAAGGTGCTCAAAAAAGTCTGCTGGACGACACACACAAAAAAGTCGATATTGGTGCACTGGAAGAAAAGAAAAGGGACAGCAGAACACAGAGCATAGGAACACTACGCACAAAGGAAAAGACAACCCGCATATATTACAACCGCAAAAATAAATTAATAATGCATCAAATGAAAGAGAAAAAGGAGTACAAAAGCAAAAATCTGCACTAAAGTACAATCTCCTTTTCCTCTTCCTCTTTTGATGACAGTTGTGGCGGGGGCTATGATGGCCCTTCAAAATACCGCAACCAGCAAGTAAACGGCCAAAAATGGTTGTACAGCTCAGCTTTTTCAATAAAGAGAAAATGAACTGTACTGTGACCGTACTAAACCGAAGCACAAATACCGGTAAAACGTGGCAAACATTTTACCGCAATCTCCGTTTTTTTAAAAAATCGCCTCCAGTATTTGCCAAACACAGTTGCCGCTAGGCGATTCTCAAAAATGATCCTTCTCAAAAAGAATCCTCGCATTTAATTAAAATGCCAAACCACCATCGCCATTTTCACCACCAATTCCAATTTTCAGCAAACACCAATTCAAGCACAATTAATTCCAAATTAATTAAGCAGATGAAAACACACACACACACTCAAATACGAATATGAAAAGAAAGAATAAAACACACTACAATCCGATTTTGATTACATTAGCTAGTGGTAGTGGTAAATAACAAAAATTAATAATTCCTCGGCAATTCTAATTACTAAATCTAAAGAGCTGTGCCACAAACTTCTCTCTTTGTCATCATCATCGTCATTTCCAACAGTAGCAGAAGTAACTTTTAATCCCCGCATTCAAAAGTAGGTCAGCGGAGAATTAAAACTAACTGCTGCTGCTGCTGCCGTTGTTGGTTTGAATGAAAGGAAAGGTAAGAGCGGCAAAGCGGCGTCTTTAGGAGCAATCACAGAGAGACAGATAAAGAAAGAGAGGCAGGCAACACACAGACAAGATAATAAATCGGCTATAAATAAGTAATAACGGTAATCATAATAGTTTCACTTTCGTTCCCATCTTTTCTCCTCCTCCTCCTCCTCCTCCGGTAATACCCGAATAAAAAAAATTGAAATATTTAAAAAATAAATCTGCAGAGAAAATTAATTAATTAATAACTAACCAATCTCCGGAATACTTTCACTCTTCAAAAATAGTAACCGTTTTTTGCTTAATAATAAAATCACAACTAAAACAGAAGATAACATTTCCTACCGGCAACTGACAAATGTAGCAAAATCAAGCTAAAAAGAAGCATAAAAATCAAAACTAGGAAACAGTGCACCGATAGTGGTAAGTCACCGTGTAACATACATGCTAGAGCTAGAGATTGCGGCCAGGATAGGAAAGAAAGAAAATGAAAAGGAGGCACTTAAAACCGAGCTACAGCGCTGTATCTGCTGATTAATCAGCCGGCAAGGTGTGTGCTCCCCATAAACAACAGCGACAAAAAAAGTTGCCCAAACTGGGCGCCATTACTGGGATGGGATGAAAAGACAACCAATTCAGGCGTCATGGGCGTCATACGACACAGACAGCTAGAGATTACTTTCACCCCTTTTCTCCGAAGCATCTGATCCTTCTCACATACTCACTGAACACCTGTGCCCCCACCCCATAAATCTACAGACACCGGCGCCCGTTAAATGTGGCGGCCAGTCAAATGAATGCTAATCAGCGGACAGTGAACGATAAGAGAAGTGCGATAACAGAAGAAGAGGGCAACACAGACAGATTGTAAAAAAAACAACGTGAAAGTGAGTCAGTGAGTAATGAGTCAGTGAGTTTCAGAAGCATCATCAGCGGATAATCACCACCGTTAATGAAGAGTCAACGGGGGAAAAGGCTTCTGAAAGACTGCAGCTGCTGCTGCTCACTGGCGATTAAAATCACACGTGGTAAAAGCAGGCGGAAAAAAAGCAACTGAAAACTAACTAGCTAGCTACTGCACCTTTTCAATTTGTTTTATCAGCGCACACTCGCACAAAACATTTTCACCATTTTCCAATCACTTCCACACGTTCTCTCTCCTAATCAACAACGCCCACATGCAGTAATGCAATTTTGGCAAATAAAAAAGCAAAAACAAATTACGAAAAAGCAGGGCGCATTTTAAAAGCGGCGGCTACAGCAGCTGCGCCGGAAGTGCAGATTACTGTACTGTACAGTAGTACACACAAAAACGGCCGGAAGCTAACGAGGCTGACAATTGAGTGTGTTCATGTGTGTTGGCAATCAACACTGGAAAAGAAATTGACAAAAGGGTAACCTTTTGGTTGGTTGAAAGGATNCTACTGTACTGTACAGTAGTACACACAAAAAACGGCCGGAAGCAAACGAGGCTGACAATTGAGTGTGTTCATGTGTGTTGGCAATCAACACTGGAAAAGAAATTGACAAAAGGGTAACCTTTTGGTTGGTTGAAAGGATACAAAATGTAAAATAAAAAATTCAATTCCGTTGACGAATAAAAATGCCACCAGCAAGAGGTGATTGTCCTTCAGAAAGGAGAAAAATAAAAAATAAAAACCGTCGCCATTAAAGCGAAAATCAGACGTAAACTCTAACCTACAACAAAATCTTAACAAAACCAGCAAGCAGTTTAACTAATGAGGAAAACAGGCAAACAACAACAACAACAACAACACTGAACCTAAAACCATCAAATGTCAAACGACAGCAGCAGCGGCAAAAAATGGAAAACACAAGCACACAAAATCTAAACCAATTACCGCTCTGATCAGTTCAGAACACAGCCCAACTCAAACAACTGACAACAACAACAAAAAAAAAGGTTCAATCACATCAGTGGGAACTGTGAATGGAGGCAGGCTAATAAATTAATTAGCCACCGCGCTCTTCCCACTCAAATTCACACCAATTGGTCCTTTTGTGTGTGTTTGCATTTCTGTTTGCGTTCCCCAGCGTAGTGAACACAAACAACAGGAGAAAGAGAGANACACCAATTGGTCCTT